ACACACACACACACACACACACACACACACACACACACACACACACCCCTTTGGTTTGGGCCAAAGTAAATACATAAAGCAGTGACCTGTTTTGGACTTTTGAATAAAACAAGCAACTTATATTAGATATGACTAAATAGAACAATAAATGGTTCACATTTACTCCATTAATTTGACTTTAAATCTCTCCCTCTCTTCTGTCAATGATTCTCTAAGGAAAAGCTCACACACACATTTCAGTCTGAGTTACCTTATTAAAGTGAAAGCAGGACCCGTTTTACTTTTGTCCAGTGGTTTGGTTCCTTCACTGGCTCAGGGTTGCTGCAGGAGGAAGGTCCAGAGAGCTGCAGCCCGTCACACAGGCTGTGCGCGCGCTGAGGGGCGCATTTCTCCGGCTCTGCTGGAATGTGATCAGAGGCGCTTCACTGGGCTCTTTCTGGGACCAGATCAACCCTCTGGTTCGACTCCTTTTTAGTTTTTGGTGCCCAGATCGGTGAAGAAGTGGGGCTCAGTTTCTCAGCTTGTGCTCCAATCTCAGTTCACTTCCTCCAGTCCGAGCTGCCGCTGCAGGTTCTGGCCTGGGATGATCCTCCCACTGCTGAGGCCGCTTCTCCTGTTCCCTCCCAGTTTCTCTCTGTCTCCCCCCTCTGAGGCCTCCTCCTCCCTCTGCCTCCCTCCATTTGTTCTCACACACTCCTCTCACGCAGATGGAGAGACTTCCTGCCACTTCCACGGCACCCCCTCTTTAAAGAACATCTTCCATACCAGCATCTTTTATAGGAGGGAAGTGAGTTCATGATCAAATAGCTTTTGTTTTCTCATTTATTCCACAGTTGTATAAACGTGTACCCTTCATACTGTGTCCAAAATTATACTAAATCAAACATTCTGCAGTTTAACATGCAGCAAACTTTTTTTTTTAATTCAATCTTTATATATACAGGTTAGTTCCCATTGAGCCTCAGGGGGCTTATTCACAAGAGAGACATGTTACATACAACATAGAGTAGATGAGGAAAAAAGAACACGAGTGGAGGAAATTAAAAAAACCATGTCTCACACCATGTCCTGGCCAGGACACAATGTAAAAGATGCATAAAAAAAAAGGACCTTGCAACATAAACAGCGACATACAATGACATAATACATTTATGCATAGGAGATCAATAGTATTTGTATATAGTATAATTATTCTCTGTACAAATGTTAAGAATTAAAGCAATGTACAAAGAGTTAAGTTCTAATATAGCTTTTCAAGTGCTAAGGGAACAGCTCTGGTTTAAGTTTGAATAGAGGAAAAATAAAACTAAACAAATGTGTTGTATGTTTGGAGGGTGAGCTATTATTGCATAAAAACTCAGAAGGCCAAGTGCCTCAGCATCAAAGTTAATGCCCAATAATCCAAGTTAAAAAATCCATCAAAGTTAGGTCATCTGGACTGTTTCTTTTTTTTAAAAAACAAAAACCTTTCGTCCTTTATCCAAAGGACTTCGTCAGTCCTAGGAGCCACAACAAACGGAGTCCCACAAGTAGCACACTCCCATAGTGGACCAACCAGTTTGCTGCTGATAAGATGGTTTCTGGGGCTCGCCCTCTCCCCTGTCGACTCCTCTGAGACAGCCATAGCCAAAATGGTTAAAATCAAGTTCCTCCACGTTATTTTTTTATTATTATTATTTCTTTAAAAAAATTATAAGGTCAAAATATACATTTTTTTAAAAAAACGCCCAAAACTAAACTTGTGATGTTTCATTCATTCATGATTCAGTATGTAAAGTTTATTTTTATACCTTCAAATATCCATCCATCCATCCATTATCTTTACCCACTTATTCCATTTTGGGTCACGGGGGTTGCTGGTGCCCATGTCCAGCAATCACTGTGTGAGAGGCGGGGTACACCCTGGACGGGTCACAAGTCCATCACAGGGACACATAGAGACAAACGAGACAAACAAACATTCAGTCTCTCATTCACACCTAGGGACAATTTAGAGTTACCAATCAGCCTAACATGCATGTTTTTGGACTGTGGGAGGAAACCGGAGCACCCGGAGAAAACCCAAGCATGCACGGAGAGAACATGCAAACTCCACCCAGAAAGGCCCCTGGACTGGGGTTTGAACCAAGGACCTGCTTGCTGGGAGGCAGCAGCTCTACCAGTTGCGCCACTGTGCTGCACCTTCAAATATAAAAATCACATTTTGCAATAAACTACAATACAATAAAAAAATTTTTTTAAAAGTACATACAGTAAAAGATGCAAAAACAGAGATAAAAAAGGAAACCCTTGACTGAATATAAACTACATTGAAGTTTAAAAGGTTGTTTAAAATGATCAGAGTGTGGTTATTTATTTTGTTTGGTAATGATTGGCAATCCACAGGAGCTCAACAGGAAAGTTTGAAGAAAAAAAGTGGGATGTTAAAATAAAACACACACACAAACCCACCCACCCCCCACTCCCCCCCAAAAAAGTGTTAAAAATGAACACAGTAGTACTCTGCAATAGAGAAATGGATTCCACAGAAAATGTAAAACGGCTACTACCAGTCACAA